GAAGCAGTGGTAAAAGGAAGAAGAAGAGTTGACTGACATATTGGTTCGTATGATGTTGCTTTGATGGAGAAAAGGGAGAAAGAGAGTGAGAAACTAATCATTGAGACAATGAGACAACAATCACCTTCATTTCTGATTTAAAACATTTATTGAGCAGTTATTTTGTATATGAAGCAGCTTATATACTTTCTATAATATTGCAGATGATCTATTGTATGCAGACTTAATAACTGTGCTACTATGAAAGTGTGCTTAGGATAACCGTCAACAGCAGTCCAACAACTACTAATGTCCTCAATGACGTTCATTTCAGGCTTTGTCTGTAAAAGTATAACAGCATCGCTCAGTGTTTCTTTAAAATTAGGAAAATGGAAGTTATTAACAAGAGTCTTGTTATTAAAACATATTGACTTATATTACAGTATAGCAAGAAAAGTATTATTGTGTTCATAAGATTTGTTCTGCAGTAACGAAAAAGTGTCGTGCTCAAACAATTTGTTGTTGAAGCATGAAGAGTTTTTATTAAAAATTAATAATTTGGTCATGAAGGTTAAACAAAAATGTTTACAATAACATGAAAATTAAGTTACAGTACAACTTGAATGAGTTTCTAAAGTTGCATGCAAGAAATGTTATGGAAGTCATTGTTGCTAAATATAAAAAGATAAAATACTAGGAATGACAAAAATAAAAATAGCCATAATAAGTAAACATTATGAGATCCTGACTCAAAATGTTGCAGTTTTGAGAAAGATTTTGGCTTACTATCTTATACTTTTGACTTAAATGTCAAGTCTTGGACTTATTAAATGTAATTTATCGAATGTGTTCATTCTTTCATTCTTTACTTTTTGTACCAGACATGAGCTTCAGTAAAATGTTGCTAATCTTATAGATGCGTAATTACACAAAAATACACTTATTAAATTCAGTTCCTTCTTCATATTAATGATTCATGAAAATCTAATTTAATATTCGTATCAGATATTACAGAGATTAAAATGAAAATTAACGTAACGCAGGCATTGAATACTATCAACTAAAAATCGTCGTGTATTAAAGGACACCCACCTCGTCAGCTGTGTTTGTTTCTGATCCACACGTCCAAACTCTCTGACTGCTGTTCTTTAAAACGTTACACATATCAATCCATCTGTGTGGGAGTGTCTTAATGGCACCTATGTGTGAACGTGACAGACAGAAGCAAAACTGTGAGTTTTTTGCATGTTGATGTCATTCTAAAGTAAATTGTGGCAGGCAAATTTTCCCTGCACATTATTGTTCTACAGTGAGGTCAGAGCAGAGCAAGCTGCTGATGAGCATCACTGGTAGTGAGCTAGTGTCTCGAGGATATTAAATTAGTTTGAAATGCAATACCTGGTTAGATTTATAGATTTTTGTTTTAGGATTTGTCTTAATGCAGGAAATGTAAATTAACAATTGGAAACAGAAACAGTTGGCGTATTTGTGCACCAACTAACAAGCCAACGAGCGTCATTGCCATCCTGAGAGCCACAACACATTTATTGCTAAGATGATTGAACTAAAAATTAAGTTTGATATATTACTCAGAGTACCTGGTACTAGGGTGCAATTACGCATAACAGGCTAAAGGAAATATCACAAGAAGTGGTGCAAACTGCATTAAAAGTGAAAATGTTAAATGTTATGAAAGTACTTCCACTGGGTGTGGCTCATGACATTGTAGTTTATAACTCGGTTTGTGAGTTGAGTATTGCTATAAAACCTTCTCGACATTGTATTCACATTCTTACCAAATTACATATGAATCCATCAGTGTGAGCCTAAATAGCATTAACATTTAATAATGCAATGGCTGTGGGCAACAATACTGTAGTTTATCACTCGGCTTGTAATTGGACTATCTATGCTACACTGTAAAGTCCAACTGAAATCATTTGTAATCAAAAATAATGTCAACGTGTTTTTTTGTTTCCCCAATTCCCTTAAAATTAGCTACTCTCCAATAATAAAACATTTATAACTAAACCTACAATAAGATGATAACAAAACTCCCATCTCACCAAAAGTGTTGGTTCCTGATCTTCCTTCTTCTGTCTTTAAAGTAATTAATTGCTGTGTGGAGGTGTGCAGTCCATATATATATATAAATATATATTGTGTGTGTGTGCGCACACGCATGCAAATCTATTTGATGTTTCAAGTGTTTTATATAAAGTGCACTTGGCGGCAGGACGGCATGTTCTCTTATTAATCATCAATAAACAGACACGTCCATAGTCACTTTGTCATGATTTTTTCAAATGCAATGTCATTATTTTGCACAAACAAGCAAATTATTCTCTGTCGGTGTTCACTGCGCTGTGCAGATTTCATGCAAAGGTGAGGTAGACCTTCATATACTGCACACCTGTTTTTTTGCCCATCAAACTGCTCCCTGTAGACACAGCCTGCATGACAGTTCATTTGAATGAACTCCTAGTTCGCAGGTCATTTGAATCCAGTCAAACGTGGTGGACTGAAGCATAACTATAATATGGAAATGTAGAAAAACAAACTCAGTCCAAGAGAATGATTAATTGACTTGAAATTGACTCAATTAGTCATATATTTATTTTTTTCCTTTTTTTTAACAACTAAACGACAGAGACATCTGTCAGTGTTATAGTCAAATGGTTATCTTAAATGACGTCTCTCCAAGTGTGCTAGAGGGTTGACACAGAATCAATACCTGTACAATCTGATGCAATAAACATGGGTATCATCATTTTAAAATATGATCCGAAAGTATCATTTGGGTGTTGAGTATTGCATTCTTGAAAAACCTTCAATACCTTGTAATTTGTCCTTGAAAGTTTGTTTTGTTATGAGAAGTTGCAGGTTGGTTTAGACACTTTGGTCATTTTCAAAAAGAACGAAATACAAATAAAACCGGTACTTTGCAATGGCTTATCAATCAAAAATAGTCAATTTGCTTTCATTTAAGCAGGTTGTGGGTGTTTAGGATCAGAAAGATTAGCTTTGGGTAAGTTTTGGCTGCTTAGCTTTGGTCTGATTATATAGTATATTGTATAATATTTAATTGTGTGTTGAGTGGTTGTGAGGGTGTTAATATGTGACACCTGTTTTGAGTGATGTCATGTTTGTTGTTAGGTGGTGGCTGAGGCTTTCAGTGTGGTTTCTAAAGAACTTCTATGAATTTTCGAGGTATTTTTCGAGGGTGTATTTGTTAGATTGTAGACTAAGCATTCAATGGTTGAATATTAAATAGATATTATATGGTTGTAGTAGTCCAACACTAATAGTGGACTGTGAAAGGGACCTTTGTGCAGACACAGACTGCTTTTAAAGTTTTATACAGCCATCACTGAGAATATACAGATTATTCAAAATCATGGGTTACAACTGTTGGCTATTTAAATCTCTGAACAACAAAAGCATGAACAAAAATTGAATTGAATTCTCAAATCAAAGTTAGTAATACACCACATTAGTGGAAGACGTCACTCTATCTTTGTCTCTCACACACGTATGTCTTTCTACACTTGTACACAATGCATTCCCTATCCCCTAACAATAACCATCACATCTAAATGCCTAACCCCAATACTAATACTAAACCTAACCTGAACCTAATTCTAAGCTGAACCTTAAAAACAAGTCTTAGCCTTCAAACAAACCTATTCAGTGGTGAGGACCGGCCAAAATGTCCTCACAATACAGGTGTCCTCACTGCAAGCGTTTTAACCTGGTCCCCACAAAGATAGCAAAACAAGGCAACACACACATAGCAAACAGACTGCGTCATGGCTGGATGCCGCAGTTAGATTTAAATACACACCTCCTTGTCTATAAGTCATCTGAATGCTGTCAAACATTAATCTTGATGATTAATTGATGGTTTGTTAATGTTTTAATTGTATATATTACTATTTGCAGCAGCAGCAGGTGTAGATGAGCTAACACAGTGAGGCAAGTGATAAGACCATGGACATGAGCAATCCTCACAATTATCTAAAGACAAAGACAAAGGAAAGAGACAACACATTCAGATCAGAATTTGCACAAAACCAAACCACAACAAATGGCTGCCATTAAGGAATGGATGCTTTATTTGAGTGGTGAGCGTGTGTGAGTATTTAAGAGACGGTCCATAACAGTGAACAGACATGACAGATAGTAAATACAGAAAGAGAGAAGTAGCAGGCAAGTGACACTGCAAGAAATCGGTACTTTAAGAGCTGTGTTCCAAAACACTGCATATCCATTTGAGGAAAAATACTAAATTGATGAGCAATGATGTTGATCTAACGGTATAAACCGACATTGATACACACCCAAGCCACATGTGTGAATATCTATGACGACAAATGTAATATTTTCCTTTTCTGTTGACTAAGGAATTTCTTTTTTTCTAATTTGAAAATGCACGTAGTTCCTTCAAATGGATGTGTAGTCTACAAATGAGCTATTTGTTTGAAATGGTTATTAACTCTCTTTTACTTATGCTCGCAATAAATTTCAAATCAAGATTACTGAGAAGGCAATTCCATCATATCAACTTTGAAACAACATTCATATTAATGACGTTAAGGCTGAATCTCCAGCAAACAAGGCCTGGATCACTTTAAGAAACACAACATGATGTGGTTGAAACAATCAAGAGAGCCAACAATTCCAAAAATCGGAAGATTTAGCAGCACTATCTGATGCTTTAACAAAAGTCAGAGAATGTACTTTTAACAGACTGACAATCGGCACAATAAGGGAAACAACATGAACTCCTTTTCGGGACTCTGACAGCTTTCATTTTGATTTATTATTTTTTATTGAACATGCACTTATCATACTGTTTTTGTCCTGGCTATCTGTAAAAGAGAAGATCGTTAGCATTCACCATTGAAACCAATTGCTACAAACAGCCAAGAAATACCGAGTTAGCTATTAACTGCAGTAGTTGCACCCTGTGTTACAAAATAGACAGTATTAGCTTTTCAAAATAAACCTCCTTACTTGGATAGCTCAATGTTTACAGGTTTGGTCATTGTCCATTGGTTTTGATCAGAAATGCTAACAAGCTGTTTTTTCTAACTGGCTAGCTTGATTATTTTCCCTCCACAGCATTACGACTTTCAGTTGACAAAAAAATGTACTAAACAAAACTTGAAATGTAGATTTGTCCACTCACAACAGACAGTATAAAAGGTATCAAATACCAACAATCATATTTTGATTCAACGTAACAGACAAAATGTACAAAAAGAAGAAATATAATGGGCACTTAAGAGCTGCAATGCACACGGTGGAACACAATCAAATGGCAAGTTACAAAGATTAAAATGACAAAATAGATAAATAAATAGATAAATAAATAAATAGAAGTAATAACTTACATGAGGTTTACTATTTTATCAAGTGTGAACTTGATATGACACCACAAGTATCTGTTAGCCAGAGATGTTTTATAACAATGTACGTTTAATCTAACTGAATGCTGATGTGAGTAACTTAAATGCTTTTTTTGCCTATTAAAATAGTATTACTATTATTACTATCGAGAAGTACTTTCTAAAAGTAAATGCAAAAGTAAAAGCAATGTCGCATTTCTCTTTTGTCCTTCACTGCACTTAACATTTCTGTTAATCTTCTTCGGTGTGTGTGAACTGTTTCGTACAATGGGAGCTTAGAGTTGAAGTCTGTCGTGGTAAGTTTGATGTCAACAATCACATAACACAGAGGCATGCTTGCGTTATGAGTGATGGCAGAACTTGTGGAATCGTACAAGCACTTCTCGGAATTCTCAAAACATTCTAGAATCCTTGGCAATGTTGAAAAATGAATGAAAACATTCTTGAATGTCGACCCCCGGCCTCACGAGCAGAAACAAAGTGTGTAAAATCGTTACTGGTTCCAACATTTTACATGATATTATTAAAGGTATTCTCACAAATATATAGGATGGATTTATAGACCTTTTTTCCCCTCCTTGCAACAGATTTCTCAGGAACAATATAAGAAGACTCAAACCGAGCATAGATAAGATGATGCTGCTCGTCAATGTCAATCAACCAATTGAAACAACCATCCAGACAATCAGAGTCAGAGTCAAGCAATCATTTCTAATGTTGAATCTATTGCCTAAGACATAAAGTATACTAGCATATAGCAAGAAACTAAATAAACATTCCTATTTCAGACAATGGACAAACAATGGACAACATGCTAAAAGTGGCCCATGTCTTAGTCTAAGAATATTTTGAGTTAATCTTTACTCAACAATGTAGTCAATGTCAATTTAACTCGGCGAGGATCCCCTTCTTAAGCAGTTTGTTGGAGCATATTTACATATTTACAGTTCACACAGATTCACTGCTGGGAGTTTCCCAGTACAACTGCAGTCCTCTACTGCTGGACCAGTTTAAAGTTAAATGCTTTGCTCAAGGGCGCCCTGACAACCTCTCAAGTTGGTAGCTAATGTTAGCTTCCACTTTGCACAAATTGAATATTATGGTTAAAAAGCAATAAGGAAGTCTGTGGTAATGACCTGGAGTAAGAAATGATGTCAAACTAAGACGTAGACCTCTTTTACCTCACTGGCCATTATTTTCTCTTTTACATACAACATGAGAAGGCAGAACATTACAAAACTTTTATCTTCCATTCAATTCTCTCCAAAACATCAGCCTTTATTCATACACTCACGTCTTTTATACTTCTTCAATGCCTTTATCCATCATTCACTCCATTGTGGGTTTGGGAAGCAGTGGTTTCCGAAGATGTTTTCGTCATATCCTTATGCAACCTTCATTTGCTCTTCCTTTCTTTGAAGCCTTTTTCTTTGCATCCGCTCCTCCGATTTCAATTAATGCCAAGCTGGGAGAAAGAGGGACTTCTAGAGTTTGAGATCAAGAATTAGTCGTTGCATAACTGTTCTTACTCCAGCCTTGCATCACTCCTCGGTCCCATTTTGCGATATTTCTCAAATTTGCATGAGGTCCAGCGAACTCTTGAATCCACCATCGTTCTATTCTCCCTGATCTGCTAATATTCTCGTCCTTCTTTAGACTTTAAGAGGATGTAGTTCGAAGGCCAATCTATGTCCTACCATTCTCTATCATCCCAAGTTTCATTTTTTGACGATTACTATGATGATACTTTATCCAAAAGTCGTCAAAACTAGATTGCAGTTTCATTGTGGTCTAATGATGTAATTATGGCTATTTCTTCTTCTTTGCTTCCCCCTCTTTCCTCTCCATCCCTCCTTCCATCGTTGAAAGTAGAGGTTCATGCAATAATTCCTAGAATTTGACATCGTGCACCATATCTCTCTACTCCAACAACCGCTCCCTCCATCTTTCTTCCCTTCCTCCACTCCATTTCTCCGTCTAAGCCTCCATCATTGCAGATAGCGGTAGACTTTGAAGCAGTGGTTGCCAGAGTCAGCCACTACCACATGTCCATCAGAGGTCAGAGCCAGACCTTGGGGTCCGTACAGAGGGTCCGCTGACGTGTTGATGTAGGAGAGGAAGGAGCCACTGCCGTCAAACACCTGGAAGTGTTTCAACAAAGAGAGAACATGTGTTCTTAGTATCGCAAACACTTCCAACACTCCCTGGAAGGGGCTTCTTGTAATCACAAGCTGGTTGTACCTGTATTCTACTGTTGCCCCAGTCAGCTACGATGATGTTCCCATTTACGTCCACAGCTACACCAGTGGGAGCGTTGAACTGGCCGTTTCCCTCACCGTTGGAGCCAAATTTCAACACCAGTTCTCCCTCAAGGGTAAAAACCTGTCCGGGACAATGAAAGAGTAATATATCATGATTCCACGGTGACAAGTCCTGTTGAAGTGTCCTTGAGCCACAAATTAGATATCTACCTGTTCGCCTGGATAATATACGACTAAAGGGATCATCTCATTCTAAACAGGTCAAGGTAAAAGGTATTCAGTCAGCACGGCCTTACCTTGACAGAGTGGTTATGGAAGTCAGTCACGATAACCTCATTGTTATTGTTCACTGCTGCAAAGTGTGGACCTTCAGGACAGCAGCAAAGAAACAACAAAAACAGGTTGTGCTTTCAGTGCTTCTGCTAACACTTCAACTTCTTTCAGTGCTTACACTTCAACTTCTTTCAATACCTTTAATTTCAACTGCACAACAATCAGTTTTCAGTGCAAGGACAACTACATTTATTTGTTTATTATTAGCTTTTGCTACTAAAGAATTATTTAGTTTTTTGGAACAAACCCACGTTATAAATATACTGGTCTTAGTCAAATTATAAAGTAAATGCATGTGACGGTAACCTTGGTTATATGTGTGATTTAAATTATTTGGAAGATAATAATTAGTCCATAAAGCATCACACACTAGCATGGACTGTCTCTTGGAACAAATACTACCTGCAAATTGTTTGTCACCGTTGCCTCGACTACCAAACTTGGTGACGAGCTTGCCGGTCAGCTGGAAGATGAAGACAGTGCACGCCTTGTTGTCAACCACGATCACATGACCGTTCTGGTCCACAGATACGCCCTTTGGCCCCATGAGTCTACCAGAGCCAAGCTTCGCCTGATGGATGCCAAATATGAACAATGACAAGGACCATTCAAAAAAACAAGTTTAACAATTTGTTTCTAAGCATCAGAAAATCTTCCCAGCATTAAAATGTCCTTTAAAGGTAAATTAGTTTTATATTTCAATACTGCTGTTCAATGAAATGTTACAAAGAATGAAGAATCCTTTAAACCTACATTAACGCTTCATCCCTTCAAAGCTTAAAGCCACATCGGTGTACCTACCTTGTACTTGCCCTCGCTGTTGAAGATGCTGACCCACTTGTTGTCATAGTCGGCGATGATGATGTCCCCACTGGGATGCACGGCCACGCCCGTGGGACGCTGCAGTTGCCCTGGTGACCGCCCCCGCATGCCAAAACGACTCTTGAATTCCCCTTCGTTGGAGAAAATCTGAAGTGGGTAGACACTTGTGAGCACATAATGCATAACTTAACTTATAAGATGTACCCTTAAATTTAAAAAACAAGTCGGAACCCTCCAACAGCCATTTGGAGAAGTGAAGACCGGGCGAAACGTGCTTTACCTGGACACACTGATTGTTGCTGTCAGCAATCAGTATCCTGCCACTGGAGGAGGCTGCCACACCCTGAAGGTTGGTGAACTCTCCTTTGTTCCTCCCCTTCGTTCCTGGAGAGAGTAGCATCAAACACATGCAAATCCAAAACTGACAATATGGCAGCCTGCAGTAAACTAAAATTCCAAGCTTGAAAATGTAAAATTATGAATGTCATAGCTTTAATAAAAGCTTCAGTTTCCAAAGCTGTAATGTCGCACCAATCCGGAAGATGAGGTCGTCCTCAATGGGGTTCTGGGTCTTGCGTCGTGGGGTTCCCAGGGCGCTGCTCGCCCTCTTGGAGCCTTTTTTCTTCTGGCCGGGGGACTTCCCTCGTCTCTTTGCCCCCTCAGAGGAGCCTGTGGACGGGGTGGCGTAGGCTGCTGAGTTGGTTGCTGTGGTGGTGGAGGGGGACACCTGGAGATGGTAGTATGAATTTTCGTGTGTTTAGTTCATGTGCATGTTAACTTGATAAACCTTTCCCAAGCTTGGCATAAAACCTTGTAACCTTGAACAGACTCTGAACACTTTAAACCTTTGCAAACATTTGTGTGAAGTTGTTTTAAGTCCTCTGGTTTGCATGAACAAAGTTGGATGATACTTCGTATCTTAACTCTACATCTCATCAGAGTATGACAGGTCATTGGTTCTCCAAGTGTTGTTGGATAATGAAGACAAAGCTACCCACATACACCCTCCACCCACCTCTACTTCTGCCTCTAAGAGCCTGTTGATAGTCAGTTTAAAAGGGCTTCCTTTGATGTGTTGATCGTACAGACGGAGAGCCAGCGAGAAGTCGCCCTCCTTCGGCACCGTGTACACAAACTCATAAGTCCCATTCTTGTGGTCCACTATTTCACCGTCCACTATGCTTCCATCTGGGGTGAAGACCTGGTTTAACACATGAGTAACATTCTGTTATTTCCTGTTGAAGTGTTCACAGAATCGCGCTACATTTAGGTTGGTCATAAAAAAACAACCTCAGCTGACAGGATCGCATTGCCGCACTTGCAGGCTCCCCCCGACTTGTCTCTTGTCACTATGGTGACCGAGGCAGGATGTCCCACAATGCACTGCTCCAGGCCAGCACCCATGGCTTCGCTCTGGCTCGCCACCGCACTGAAGGAGAGGAGGAAAATCGAGGACGGTCAAACAGTGTCAAATGCAAAAGAGAAATGCTTTCATAGCTCGTGCCAGAATATTTTGTGTCTCGCCTGGTTGTGACGATGGTCCCCAGGTTATGTATCGACTTCCTCAGCCCGTCGGTCTCCAGCAGCAGATCCAGCTGGTCGTTCTCCTCCGGCTGACATGGCAGGCCGAGTCCGGCCAGCTCCCCCAGCCTCCCCTGCAGCTCCTGCTCTGCCTGCAGGCTCGCCGCACACGCTTCCCCAGCCAGGGCCTCCTCCGTCTGGGTACAGGAGGCAGTGATGTCCCCCTCTCCCCGGATGAGGCTGTCCACTTGAGCCTGGAGAACCTGGAGGCAGATGACAGATTTTTTATTTTTTTATTTCGTGAAGTCGCCCCCGGGCAGGAGAGGCTATACTTTACAAACATAAAAGATTAAGAGCGCTCACAACCAAAATCACCTTCTGTTTGAGTCCGTATGTGACCTCCAGCTCCATCAGCAGAACACTCTTCCGGACATCGAGCTGCTTGTGCAGATCCTCGAAGCTCGACTGGATGTCCTCTTCGATGGAAGCTCTCTGGTTGGTCAGCTGTTGGAGGATCTCCTTAACGAAGGACAGGGCGTCTGAAATCTGAGGGAGTCTGCCGGGATAAATATAGACAGAAAAGAGGGATTTTCACTTCTGCCATTGCGTCCTTTCCCCCCTGTCCAGCAGATGTCAACTTCTCCTCTTCACTTCACTATCCTGTAAAGTAATGGAATGTGCAATTACTCGTACAGTATTTCCATACAGTCAGCCAAGCCAAAGGGTCTTCTTAACATTAACATTACCACTATGACTGAGTCTAAACGACGTGTTTTAACCACATTCACTGAGTCGTCCACCTGTTCTGAACGCCCCCCAGCCTCTCCTGCAGGCTGCTGCGGTGCTGCTCCAGGGCCTGGCTGAGGGGCACCTTCGGGTGCTCCTCATGATCCGGCACACAGTCCTCGCACAGCGCACACTCGCAGGCCGAACAGAACAGCTCTGCCACCTGCAGGGGAAACGGTGAGCATGGTGGCATGGACAAAAAGATGGAGGTACAGTTACAGGGAGATTTAGATAAAAGGCAGTACAAGTAAAGTTAAGTTCACTACACTGAGTGCTCGGGTTACACTAATGATTATTTGTCTACCTGTGCTTTTTCTCTCTAACTTCTGCATCCTTGCATGTCATGTGTAGTTCAGTTATCTGTCAGTCGTGAGTGAAACAAAACAGAAATAGAAGTGGGTGGTTTGTATCAAAGACTGTGCAGCACCAGTCAGGTGCTGGTAGGTGGATTCTGTTAACACTGTGTAGGATATCATATCCCAAGTGGGAAGAGTGAAGTCAGAAATGGATAAAATAATGCACAAATATGGCCTTGAAGAGGTTGGGTTTGGGTACCAGTCTGGTTCAGTTTTAGTCCTGTGCAGAACCCAAACCTGTGGGCAAACTTCAGGTAGCAAATTAGCTAATATTGTGCTCAAGTTTCAGAAGTTGTTTGTGTGTGACAGATAGATCTGCGGGTAGAAACAGCCGTACTTGAGTTGTTTACAGCCGATATAAAGTTACCAGATATCCCAGAATCTGCACATGGCATGCACATCTCATTACATACAGAAAGAGATCTCTTTTGAGGGAATAGCGAGCCCGTTGAGTGTTGCATCCCTTACCTTCCCCGCATGCTGCGGGCAGGTGTTTTTGCCAGGCGGAGCCTCCAGGACGGTGCACTCCTCACTGCTGCTATCTGGGGAGTGTTGGTGGGCCTCCATCTGTGGGCGGCAGCCTGGAGGGGGTGAACCTCCGAACGCACCCCTTATCCCACGCTGCAGCCAGGGGAAAGGGGCCGGACGCTCAGATACAAGGTTCTCCTTCTGTTTATGGATACCCCCTGGTCTCACGCGTTATTCCATCGTGCATGAGAGAGGAAGCATTCAAATGAAGTCCTTATGATCTGGGCACATGTTGCTTTTTAGGAGAGGCATGACTTTTGCTGCCAAAGTTAGATTATCTCAGCAAAGAAGACGGGCTAAATTCATGTTTCCACATAGAAGAGTTCCAGGAAACCAGTAATTTTAGTGTACAATCATCCACTTTTGTTGGAGCTTGATCTCTCTGCTGCAAAGAGGAAAAGGGCTAACCGTCAGTGATTATTCCATTACATCCAAAACTCCACAAATATTCCATGTAAGACGTCCTCCTGCCTCCATGTGCTGTCTTTTCCCAGAACAATGAAAAAGTCTCTTGAAACATCAAAAAGCAGGAAGAATTATAGTGAGGCAGAAATCGTCTAATCCTCTTTAGGTCTCATTCAGGGGAAAAGCAGCAGACCTGGTTGGTTTAGTTCACAGAGGGGTTCAATCAGAGGACAGCCTGGGGAGAAAAGAGAAGGGATGAGGATTAAAAACATGGATGAACACTTTGGCTCTTTACTCTGTGCACTGAGAACTTTCCCACCATGTGGTGTCATCAGTTTTAGGATTTAAGTGAGTATTCGTCACCCTTTCACAGACAACGTACGGCCACCAGGGGCAGTACTGAGTGCTGAGCCCCTCTAGATCGGGACGATCGTCGGCCACCGTAGATCTCTACGCGCTTGGCATACGGGAAAAGTTATCCTACACACTGGCCCTTTAAGAAATACACTCAAAGAATACTTCTAGCGAGTTTCAGACTCGATAAAAAGTTCAGTGCCGGGCGCAGAGTCGCTCCGCTCGTTAAATGTCACACTTGGCCTAGGCGGCCAATCAAACTGAGCAAATTAATCCCCGAACTCTCTGTTTTTGGCTCAAGTATGACAAACTGTCCAGGACTTTCTCTTTTACCTCTTTGCTAAACTTCCTGTTTGGATGTCACAATGTTCCCCCGACTTTGGCGACTGCAACGAGTGACGGCCAGCGCTCCGACGCTACACCCCCAGTTTAATAACCTGTATCACAGCTAGTGTGCTAATGCAGGTGTGTATGTAAGATATTGAGCAGGACCTCATCACACAGTGTCAGTTAGTTGTCATATAGAATTATGGAATAAACACACAAATATTCCCAGTCTGTCTTCCCCTCTAATAACCGTATGTTCCTTCCAGGTGGCGCGTCAGACCCCCCCAATCAACCCCCAGATGGTACGCTCCGTAGTGAGGAATGTGTGCAGCAGGTCCGGGAAAACAGATGGTACGATCCACAGACAGGGAGGGGGGACCAACAGCTAGAAGTGAACGAGGAGGGAGAGACTGATGAAGAGCTTCTAGGAGGAGCAGCAATGTAGGTCACGCAAAATGTCTTCAAAGTGATGGAGAGAGAGTGAGGCAGCGGTTTCTATGGTAACAGACTGCATGGGGAGGAGCAGGGGCAGAGATAAACAAAAAACAGTCGTGATCCCTTTTAATCCTAAAATCCCAAATTTAACAGTGTGTGTGTGTGTGTGTGTGTGCTTTGTTCACTCTGATGAAGGGTCAGTGGACACGTGACCTCTTGACATGTTAACAAGACAAAGTAGAAACATTCAACCTGATTCCTGATACAACACATGAACCGGTGCACATGAACCGGTGCACATGAACCGGTGCACATGAACCGGTGCACATGAACCGGTGCAGATGTGAGGGAATAAATTCAGACTTTATGTTAAATTCATCTTGTTGACACTTTCATGGATAAAGTTGATTTAGACAGAAAATACAGTGAAGATGATTTCAACCTGATCAAAACAAACAAAAACATAAATACTGTATATATTATATTGTATATTTTGATTTCAACATATAATCAGTCGCCACTTTATTAGGTACACCTGTAAAATCTAATGCAACAAATTCTACATTTACAAAGATAATTATGTTCAGTTTCGAGCGGTATTCATTTAACTATTTGTATATTATTGAGTTTTAGGTACTATGGTCCGCTAAAAGAACGTACTTAAAAAAGACATTGTTAAAAAAATATATACAGTATATTTGAAGTCATGAAATAATCCTTTGGAACATAGTATTATAGTAAAGTACCATACCTTCTTCTTTTTTACTTTTGTTTTGAATCATAACGTTATTAATCTTGTCTTCATTCTCTTATACTTTGGCTTTCATTTTTAAATGTATTTATACATCTCTGACAGTCGCTCTGCTTTCCATCTCCTCCATTGTCCTTTGTGTTGTTCTGGTTTTCTGTTTACTGTCTCCAGACTGCCTCTCTCTCTCTCGCTCTATATATACGTATATATATATATATATATTTACTACATCGGTGTGTAAAAATATGAGCTCCATATTCTCATGAATAGTCCATAAAGGGGAGGGTTTATGGAAATGAGTTGCTTGTGATCTTGTACATAATCCTGTTTTAACCCCCCCCCCCCCCCCTCAAGTATTCTGCTCAGAATACACAACCTCATGGCCTGAAAGTAGCCTCACACACACTGTACGTCTGTCTGACACACACACACACACACACACTTCCTTTCTCTGACGTTCTCATTTTTATTTTCCGACAAATAAATACATTTCACACACTGAGTCTACTGCTACACCCCCCCCCCCCCCCTTCCATGTAAGGATGCTCTGCAGTACAATGCTGCAAAGGATTATGGGGCAACACTGAGGCAGTGTGTGCGTGTGTGTGTGTGTGTGTGTGTGTGTGTGTGTGTGTGTGTCTCGGCCTCGTGACACTGTGGTGGCTGTTTGTATCCGTCACTTACAGAACGAGAGACAAGTGAATGTGTGTGTGTGTGTGTGTGTGTGTGTGTGTGTGCGTGACTCTGGGTGGAAACATGACACCATAGAGGGGTTCTATGTAAAACCTCTCATGGGGGTTCTGTGTGGAACATTTCACAGATGGCAACCTCTGCTTCTTTAAAGTGAAGTCAAAGCTTCATGTGTTAAAGCTGCATTCTCTCTAGTGTCCAGCAGGGGGCGACTCCTCTGGTTGTATAGAAGTCTATGAGAAAATGACTCTACTTCTCTCTTGATTTATTACCTCAGTAAACATTGTAAACATGAGTTTATGGTCTCAATCTCTAGTTTCAAGTCTTCTTCAATACAGCATGATGTTCATTTAGTACATTATGGTCCATTGAGAGTCAAACAGACCATAAAGCAGGGGATGCTTTAGGGCGGGGCTACACGGTGATTGACAGGTCTCTACCAGAGACGTATACGGCGTCTCTACGTCACTCCTCTTCAGTCCATGTATGGTCACTTCCTGTTCACTGGTTGCAAAAAAACAAGATGGAGACTAACAAAATGCTGAACCTGAGGCTTCAAAACGTCCACTTATATTTTTACAATACTACATGGAACACGTTTTCATCAGCCTCAGTTGAGTAATTAATGGAATGTGTGTGCAATAATGTGCACACACATTATTGCACATTTTCATTTGACTTCAGTTTAGCCGGATCTGCAGCGTGAAACTGAGACAAACCAGATTCTGGTCAGTAAATCTACTGTGTGACCTCACTCTGACAGAAGAGCACACACACAGAGGTCATCTGATCTCTTTCTCTTCAAACATATTCCCATGGGAAGGTTCATGGTCTTTCTGCAGGTCTCTCTCTCTCTCTCTCTCTCTCTCTCTCTCTCTCTCTCTCTCTCT